GTGTGCGACCTTCACTCGGGCTTTCAAAAAAGAAGAAGAAGAAGAAGAAGAAAAACCCTCTCATTCTCTCTCCTGGCTTTGTTAAAATCCTGTTGGTAATTGAGGTATAGTTGACTCAAAGCTGAGATAATTAAAAATGAATGACTCCGACCCTTCTCTACACCCCCCCCTCCCCCCCTCCCCCAATTCCGACAGAGAGCGAGAGAAGGAGAGGAGAGGCTTTCCAGGGCGACAAGCTCGGCAGGATTAGTTCTAAACTTCAGTCACGAGTTCTGACTTGACAGTAGCAGTTGGTGCTGAGTAAACAAATAGGTCTTTAGATTCGACCACTTCAATTACCCCCCACCACCCAACACCACCACCACCAGCCACCCAGACTGCTGTTTTCCCGGAAACAGTAATCACATTCACTATTAATGAGCCATGATGTTCATTCTGGACCCATCCGCCCCTCTCAGTAATGCATGCTTTTCGGAACTGCGTGTGCATATTTTACACCTTGCCACACCAGATGGATACCTGCGGTGTCCTGGTTGCGCTCGCTGTCTGACCCCCGGGGCTCCTCTTTACATGCTCAACCATGAATGATGCTCGCTCATCGGGAGAAATTGTCTGATGTGCGACTTTGACTAAAACACTGCCTGCAGAGCGGAGATAATGAAACGCCGGGCTGCAGCCCGGAGAGCGAAGGACACCAACACACCTGTTCAAAGACCTCAGTTTTCCTTATTACTCTAACTGCGACGACAACAGGCTCTTCATTTTGTTAAAACACACACGACAATCTCTTTAAATGAGACATTTGACCTCGAGCTGCACACATCAGTGTCCCAGTGTCATTTTTTCCCTTCTTGCCCACCACATGATCTTCATTAAACGCGCGCAACTGTGGCATCAGAGGTTTTACGTATAGGTTTAAGTGCTCATGCAGAGGAATGAAAAGCCCATTTAGCAGTTAACAGCAGTAATTTCAGATGTTTCTGTGTTTTGTTATGTCTAATATATTTGCTTATATTGGCAAATAGTTTGCAGTCCACAATAGATACAAAAGGTTAAGAAATTTTGTAAGTATCTTTCTGCGTTATTGTACATGTTCTGTGTTTCACATTCTAATCAATCCAGTCCCTTTTGGCCACTTATAATATCTTTACAGAAGTGTTGTGTTATATTTTTGTCATTTCTGCTGCACTCTTGGCTCGCTCTTGAAAAAGATTTTTTTTTTAACGCCAGTGAGAGTTTTACATTCATAATTTACAATGTATAAAAGCCTCTTTGACAGAATCTGATTGCAGCTTCTACCTCATGACAGGAATCTTTCTTTCTGGCTTAAAATAGCTTTATATCATTCACGAAAGAAGTTTCTGACGTATGTTTCACAGATTATTTGCCAACAAGTCATTTACAACCGTTACAAATACAGACACTTCTTTTTATTTATTATTGGGGAAACAGCGGAAATAATTTCTGGCAGGCTGGCAGCTCCAGTTGTGAAGGATGCTGGTGGCTGGTGGTGATGGTAGGGGGTTTGGATGGCTGTTCGGGAGTATGACAGGACTCCCGCATTTGAGATTCGAGAGGAGTGAGTCAGCATGATCTAAGACTGGGGGGTCAGAGGATGTTGAGGGTAGGAGGCAGGCTAGACGCGAGCATGGAAACTCATTATAAGCGTTTGCAAAGCGGGCCAGAGCTGTGCAGCGTGCAGTCTTGTGAATGAGGAAGTGTTTGTGCTCTGGCCGCAGGGCTCGAACTGCTCCTATATCTGCCAGACCTCCACCACCCAAAGGTCTGTCACCCAGGCTCACCTCCTTGCTGCCCCTTCTTCATCCAGCCCCCGCCACCCACCCCCTCACACAGTCCCCTCCCTTGCCATCTTTGTGGAGGTGCGCTGAATATCGAAGAGCCAGAAGCTGCATGGCTGGCTTACAAAGGATGCTCTCTTCTCTGTCTCCCGCACTCCGCGTCCTGTTCTGCTCTACATTCTCCCTTTACGCCAGGCTCCCCGTGCCCTCCTCCTCCTCTTTTCTCGTCTCCCTCTCAGTCTACGAGCTGCTTCGCTTTCTTCTCTGCACCTCTCGCTCTCTTCTCCGTTTCTTCACCGTCACCCCCGTGACTCTCAGCCTCCAAACCCTCCTCGCCGTATTTGTTTCACAAAACCTTCCATCTTCTCCTCACTGCACCGCCTCCCCTCCTTTCTCTTCGTCTCTCTCTCTTTCCAGAAAAGCATCTATTATTAACACACACCTCTGGCTCTCGCCAAAGACTGAACCGAGGTTCAGGCCAAGCTTCTCAGCATTTTTAATCACCCGTAATGAGCGAGAAATAATTTAAAAATATATAAATCAGTGCCTGAATGCAGCTTGTTTGGGTGATAGCGTTTCACTTATGTCTTACACAGTCTCCGTGCGGCTCTTTCTTCCAGGTTTTCCCTACGCAAGGCTTTATTATTAGAGGCACACCAGCACATTCATGTATAGCAAGTATGAAGGAAAAAAAAATCAATCAGGCAGCATGAAACCACCAAAATACACCGTGAATCAGAGCTCGTATTGCAAGGGGGATAATGCACTTCATGTCAGTCCTGATATCACGGAGTCGTTACTGTAACTGTAGAAATTAGTCATGCGCAAGTTCCCACTGCGGAGGTTGTGTTTAACCTCTCCTGCGGCAGGATTTTTTTCTTTTTTTTTTTGCAGAGGCTGCTGTCGGAGGGCACAGGCACGGCGCTGCTGTCAGATGACTGAGGAGATACGCAGGCGAGGGGCGTCCCCGGTGACAAACGTGACCTCTTTTCATCATCCGCTTCCCTCCTCTCTTTGAACAAATACAAAGGCTCAGAGCCAACTACTACTTTGAGTTGCAGAGCTCGAAGAGAACTAAGGGATTCAGCTATTATTTTGTCCGGAAACAGGGCTCTAATTTCAGGGGAAGATGAACCAGAGAAGCTGAAAATGAGATAAATCTACCCCCTCCTTTTATTTTTGTGGTGTTTTTGGTTTTTAAATCACTGGTTTATTTATACTGGTAAACATCAAACAGAAACAACAGCAAAAAACCAAGAGCAGACGTCCTCCCAGTCACCGTTTCTCTTACATTTCATTTGATTTACAATGGTTGTCATCGGCATGACACGATCACCTCAGTAAGTTAGGGGGGGGGGGACACAAACAAAGCAAAAACATGAAAATGAATCATTCCCCTGGATCCACGCGTAACATCAGATTACTTCCCGCACCTTGTCACGCTGTGGGTGTTGGCTCAATCGTCGCTCAAATCAGTCATGACAGGAATCCTATCAGAGTTGAGTCTTCGTGTAATTACGTGATAAAAATGTATCGATTCAAACCGGAGGGCAGTATTAGGCTGAGTCGACTTGTGCCACACACACACACACACACACACACACACACACACACACACACACACACACACACACACACACACACAAAGAAATGCTGCATTGTGCTGTGTCTGGGGGTGGGCTGGGTGGGGATGAAAAGATAGAGGGCTGTCAGTCTACTACATTCGTTTCCTACACCTCTGGGATGTAACGCACATTCGTAATCTCTCCAAAACCACATCCAAAGTAATTAAGACATGTCACTGTCTGCAGAGCTGGAGACAAGAATCGTGTAGTCTACAGAGATTGTATCACTTTAAGTAACAGGCAATGAGATTGTTAAGTATAATAACCCCATCCCCTGTGCGATGCTTCTGTTATAATACAGTATTGTCCAGGCTACTGCATTCGATACCACATGAACACTTACGGTTGTACTGAGATATATAGTATCTCACACAACTAAAACATGTTTTGTTTTGTTTTGTACATGAAGTTTCATTTATACATTGTTGTGCCTTTCATCAAAGTTTGATCAAACTCTGTTATAAAGAAGACTTTGATAGGTTATAAGGTAGAAAACAAATGTGAAACTTTTCCCGTAAACCCTGTGTCGCCTGCCTTCTCCCAGATATACGAGAGAAGCCTACAGGTCCTTCAACAAAGAGCACAAAAGCTCCAAAACAACAACACAAAAAACAAAACAAAAAAACCCCATGGCATAAAATCCTGTCTGCTCACCACGGGCCACAAATCCAATCCAGCAATCCAAGAGCGCGCAGGTAGCAAAACTTCAAAATCATAAAGTGCTCTCCAGAAGCCACTCAGACCTCGAGAGCTTGTCCCTGGCCCGGCGAATGTTTGTTGTGCTCTCGAGCTGCGGCAGCTCTCCGCTCATTGACAGGCTGCGTTTGGAGCGCAGGCTGGCCCCGGTTTTTGGGTAGGCCACGTAGCAGCGCTCCGCGTACGACTCTGCGTTGAACGAGTGCCTGCGGTTCACCCTCGCCCCTCCTGCGGGAACAGTCATGTATTGTCGAGCAACTTGATGGGGCCGCGGAGCCCTGGGGATGGCAGTCAACTTGGTGGGCTGGCCCGGTACAGCGAGAGTGATGGCTTGGGCCGTTTTCACATCCGACGAGTTATTCCGGTTCATGTTGTCGAGCTCGACATCTGCTTCGGCTCGGCGAGCCTCAGAGGGTTTTGTCGGAGCGGTCGAATGCTTGGGTCTCGGAGTGCCCGGGGAGGCTGGGTGCCAGCTGTGACTTCCAGCTGAGGTAGAGACCGTGCAGTCAGGGACAGACGGTTTCGTGGATGCCACCACGACAGGCGGTCGCTGCTTGGCTGGCTCCGGGGCAGGCAGGGCGACACGGAGGCAGTCCTTGTCATTCTTCTCTGGCCGCAGAACCTGCTTAGAGAGGGACTTGGGAATCCCACAGCCCTGTAGCTGTCCATCACTGCTCAGTGACCTAATATCCCCCATCTCTAGCGCCTGACAGGAGACAGGGAGAAGGCAAGAGCGAGAGGAATGAAAGCAAATCTATGAGACACACATTTCAATACAGACAGAACTAATAAGGATTAAAAGAACAAAATGCAAGGAATCGTCGCTCACTGACCTTATCTGTATCCCCTTGGTTACACACCCGATAACGCACAATGAGGAAGATGATAAAAGCGAGCACAGACGCCACGATAATCCCTCCGATGATAACCACAATGGTACCACCGAGAAACTGGGACTGCATGAAATGGCATCTCAGGTACTGCGGCTCAGTGGTAAAGTGGATGCAACCAATCACCCTGGTGGCGGTCAGCGAGGTCACCTGGTCGTCATAGATGGCCAACACGCACAAGTCGTAGTGCGTACCAGCCGCCAGGTTGTTTACTAAGATGCTCTTACTGGTCGGGGGTATCATCCTGTAAAAAAAAGAAGAAGAAGAAGAAGAAGAAGAAGAAGAAGAAGAAGAAGAAAAGGCTTTGTGACTGTTCCGACATACTTTAGATTAGAGAAGGCTGAATGAAAGGAGACAGAGCAAATCAGATTATCAGCCTTATTGTTTTGTAGGGATAAAAATGACATGACAATCATTTATCTCTCAGGGGGCTATTTACGATCTGTCTAGGCGTAATCTTTTGTGACATTTGATTTATTCTCTCAAACATCATTACAGATAAAAGGTTGCTTCGGTAGCTGGGGACACGCGGATCCCCCGTTTGTTCACAACATCAAGATTACAGGACGGGACACAACTCTTTAATGTCTCTTTAATTCTGTGGCCGCGGCTGAAACACCATATGTGTTACTGACTTTGAAGTTCATTTAGGGAGAAAAAAAAAGGGTGGTGGTGGGGGGCAGTGGGGTATCTTGCGAAATGATCCTATCATATCACAGTGATTAGCACAAAATATGCGGTGAAAGGGTGCAGAGATGAAAGTATCCTGTGTACGCCAGTTCCTCAGATGGGCATGTGTGAAGCCTCTGATGCTTTTTTGTAAAAACTGTGGAAGACTAGTCTTTCATCTTCCTATGAGTCCTCAGCTTAGTGCTGACATTCTGTTTTGATTTTGTTGATTAAGCATTATCAAGCTTCTGCACGTCGTAAATGACACACTCCAGCAAGGGGAGATTACGAGTCGAAGAATGAGAAGTCAGATACAGCGCATTAGTCTATCTTCCTGATAGGATTAATAGACGCCACAAATAATCGCGTTGACAGCCAGGTCCATTTCTTAATGACTAAACATCCAAAGTGATTTAGAGATTCAAAGAACACCGTGAAGGTAAAACAAGGGCCGTGGAACGCATACATATGCTTACATTCAGCTTTAAAGTTTGTTGGGCAGTAAGAAAAGGAGCTTTTTCTTCTTCACATCTGCTCACCTGTATACCAATGAATCATCGTACGTCCCATTATATTGGATCTGAAACATGCGGATTCCAGGAATACTCCTGTGGAAGTTGAACCTGACCAGAGCTGAGGTCGAGGTGGCCTCAGCAATTACTACTTTCTTCTCCTGGCTCGTCTTTGCATTCCCCAGAGGCACCCCTCCTGCCTCTGCCCCCGTCTTGGTCACTGTGGCGATATCTGATGAGCCGGGGTCACGCTCCTGCTCCTCGACTGTGTTATTGGTGATGTGAGGGAGTTTGGTAATGACCAGCTTTACTGCACTGTGGGCCTCTCCAGCTGGGTTGGAAGCCACACAGGTAAAGGAACCTGAAACAAAAACCAAACAGATTAACTTTCTCCTGCCTTAAATTCATCACAATGTACAAATAAGCCCCGTGGGTCAGAAATGTGTAATAGAGAGCTTGGCAAAGAACCAATTATATATATTATTAGTTCCAATTTCTTCCGTTGAATCTATCAGAAAATGCCAAAGATGATACTTAATTGTGCAACAACAACATCTACAGAAGATGAACAGTTTCTGAAAGTCATAACCTTAAGAAATAACAGGAAAAAAATCAGCAAAGACCTGTTAGATGCATCTGGATGTTCAGCTAATCCATTTACTGTCCAAGCCATTTCTGATACACTTCAGTGGAAATGTGACTGTCAATAAGCCCTTCTTAAGGAAGGGAAACAGGGAGAAAAGTCTGAGGTATGCCAAATTACACAAGAACCGGACTGAAAGTCAGTGGCAACAGGTCTTATGGAGTGCCAAATCCAAATTTGAAAAATTTGGCTCAAATTTTTGACAATATAGAGGAGGTCAGGAGAGAAGTACAACAGTAACCGTCTACAGCCATCTATAAAACATCTCTAAAACATGGTGGAGGCTCTGCATTTAGCCACTTTTGTGGATCTTCTAAACATGTGTGGATATATAAATGCAGAAAGGTACCCTAACATTTTGATCCATCATGCAATACATGAGCCGGTGCAGTAAAAGCATAGCTAAACAGAAAAATACACACAATAGAACACTATCAGTCATGGATTGACCTCTCTGGAGCAAGGACCTCAACATTACTGAAGCAGTGTGAGATAATCTTGACAGAGAACAGAATAAAAGGGAAAAAACATCCAAAGAAGAGCTTTGAATGTCCTTCAAGAAGCCCAGAGAACTATTCATGAAGACTACTTGAAGAAATGACAAGAAGTCGCCTAAGAGAGTTCAGGCTGTGTTGAAGAATAAAGGTGACCATATCAAACATTGACTTTCAACTTTGTTACAATTGTACAAACTCTATTAGTTCCTCATAGTCTGTATTTCCATATATAATTACACTTGCTTCACTAAGTCACTGCACCTGTTTCCAATTTTCCTAACCAAATATAACGAAATGAGGAGTGGCTCAAGACATTTGCACAGTACTGTATATTCTCTTGTGCACTGTGATCATTGTACAACTTCCTCGTCTGCTTGGTGTAACGGTTGTGCAGACAAATCAGAGTGGTCACAAACAAAGCACAGAGCCATGCATACTCTCTGTGTTTCTGAATTATACATTACTCTGACCTTAGAGGATCCTCTGGCTCTGCTGATGTGAATTATAACACCAGAATAAACTGAAATGAACTGAAATGGAGGTAGTGGGCTATTTTTCACCTGCTTTTTTGTCCGTTCTTTCCATCCTGTACAAATTTATGCTTGACTACATTTGTTTTTACTGACTTTGTGTGAAAATTTCTTTGGATACGAGGCAAAAACTGCAGTTTTTCAAATGGTCCCCTGAGGCTGACTCCAAAAGGCTAGTCAGTGATAAACTCCCATGCTGAAATGCGACTATTTCCAGCAAAAACACATCAAATAAATTGAATTTTTAAAAAAAAACAAAGGTTACAAAAACAGTTTCAGTCCTTCTAGCTGATTTCCCCATTCATGACAACTGTGCAGTTTTCAAATTGTGCATTTTTAGGGGTCAGTCTGTGCGGACAGATGGTTGCCAAGACAGGCGGATATAGCCAGTAGCTCTCTACGAGGCTTCACCGTAAACAATTTAAATGAGTGAACTGGACCAGACTTGATGTTTATGGTGTTGGTGCTTTTCACTGCACTCTTAATGCAAATATCTGACAAATAAAAGTGCTTTCTGTGTGCCTAATTGGACTAACAGATCGTCCAAGAAGTCTGTGCTCTGCGAGTCAAATTCTGGTATTTCATTTTAATGTTACTTAGCACTAATTACCAGATATGCGATCTGTGCAAAACACCCATCCAGTCTGTTCTTTCAACAGTAGCTTTTACTTAGCACCCCCCTCCCCTCTTATTTATGGTCACTTCTGGCTTCAGACTGGAAACATTGGAAAAACATCACCTAGCTCTCTCCAAAGGAAAACAAGCTCAGCCTTCCAGCCCTTATGGACTAATTAATACAAAATATCTAATCTTTCTAGTGTTGTACTTGAAAAGCTTCTGCTTTGAATCATTCTAAGGACTACCTCGGGATAAGTACCCACTGTGGAAGTCCTGAGCAACTAGATATCAAATTCCAAGTTTTTTACCTAAGCAGCACTAACAGAAACTCTAAAATGATGTAATAGTCAGCCAGCAGCTGGTAATACAGCATCACCTCTTGCTGTGGTCTTTTATTTTTCTTTCTAATCCTGTTTCGGTCTCTGCACGTTCTGTCCACATAGCTTCACTGTGGTCGACACCTCGTATCAAACTGATGAACATTGCTAGTGAAGATTTTTTAACATTTCGCTTTGATGAGTCCAAATCACATCATGTATCTTGTGTTGCACATAAGCTCAATACAGCCTGGACTCCACTATCAGTTCACTTCTCTGAGCTTTCGTGCCATTTTAAAGGCTAGCATGGGGAGGTCTGTGTTTCCTGCCAAATGTTTCACCAGCTGGAGCTTATAATGGCAGTAGCTTTTGATAGTTTTGCTTGTGTGTTTGATCAGTCAACACTTACATCTAGACTAGTCACACAGCACGTCCCGTCACTCCAACTTCCTTCAAAGCTAAAGCAGAAACAGTACTTACACCGGCACAAGGAGCTTAAAAAGGACCTTTAGCTTCGGCTGCTGGCGATAGTGAATACGAATGTGTTTCAAGATGCTAGACACTGTTTCTGGAAAATTTCAGGTATCTAAAATGTTAATTGTTAACAAGTAAAAGTGTCAAAACACATTTCTTTGCAAACAGATGCATGTGACAGGAACTTTGCCAGGAATCAGCACACAGGCACGTCTCCACACTCAAAACTTTATCACCCGGTGTAGGTAAATACTACAGCCTTCCATGCTTATGTGCAAGCAAACAACTAATTCCGCTCCGTCAACAACATAAAAGCCCAGTCAGTGCAGTGTAAACAGACCGGAGTCCTTGACAGTGCTGATTAGGATGTCCAGCGTGCCGTCGGTGTGGACTACAGCCCTGGAGGAGTTGGACATAAGGCGTCCATCAGGTGCAATCCAGTGGATAATGGGGTCAGGGTCGCCCCTAGCCTTGCAGCGCAGAGTCACACTCTGACCCTCCAAAGCTCGCAGCTCCTGAGGCAAAGGGAGGAACAGGCAATCAGAGCGAGAGCTTCTTTTAACACCAATTAGATAACGACCCTGATCAAAACTGAAAAACACAAATTACACACAGAAGTACTTTTGTGCTGCACGGTGTGGCTTAGATATTATTATTAATGCCGTTATTGATGATGTTGCGTTTCACAATCTCATTCCCTGTGAATGTAATCAGCAATTGATCATTGTCACGTTACTGAATTAGCATTATTATAACAGGAAGATCATCAATGAGACAGTACATCGCAGTTCATACGCTTGAGTCCAAATATAAGTTCATTTTCTCTGCAATTATGCAAAATAGGTCTGCTGAATGTAAATGAGATGATATATCTGTAGTTCTTTGGCAAGGATTTGATCAGATAATTTTGTTTGGATGCAAGGATAGAATCAGTCTGAGCTTCCACTGTGTATTGAGAGCTGCACTGCGGTTCCATCGCTAAACTGCAAATAGCTTTATTAAAACTGAAAATCTGACCAAAGAACTCCTCTAAAAACACCATCAGGTGCTGCAGTTTGATTTCATTTTTCAAGCACTTTATTTTTTATGATTTGCGAGCTGAGTGGCCCAGATGAGTCCCACAACTCTTGTAAGAGTTCTCTGAATCACAAAGCTAATATTTGGTGTGACAGTCAAAGGCAGCAAATAGTGCAACCTTGGATTAACTAAGGCAAAATCCAATGTGTGGCTCAGAGTGAAGCAGTACAGAATATTGCGTCTTAACGGTCCACAGCTTAACTCGAAGACGTACCTGAGAATACCTGGTGATGAGAGGAGGCTCGCACAGGAACTCCTCTTCCGAAACAGTCCAGAAATAGCGTCCGGCGAGGTGTTGCGGTGAAGCACAGGTCTCCAGATCATCCTCCCTCTGCAACCTCCGCAGCCAAAGAAGCTCACAGTTACACCTCAGTGGGTTGCCCCCAAAGCTCAGTGCGAACGATGTAGGCCCCATTTTCCCAGATGTTGCCAGGACCCCAGCTCTCTGGAAAATAGGATCAGGAGGAAGCTTCTGGAGCTTGTTGGAGGTCACATCCAATCGCTTAAGCTTCTGCAACCCAGAGAAGGTGCCCTCTGGGATGTAGCTGAGCATGTTGTGATCCAAATTGAGCGTATGGAGATTGGACATCCTCTGAATGGCCACCCAGGGGGCGCTTTCCAAGTTGTTGTAAGACAGGTCCAGCTCCTCCAGTGCTGTCAGGTCATTAAAGGCCCCGCTTTGGATGTGGGTGAGCTGGTTGTTGTTGAGGATGAGGTGGTGCAGCTTGGACATGCCGCTGAAGGTGTCGTTGTTGATGCGGGTAAGCCGGTTGCTGTCGAGGTGAAGAGCTCGTAGGTTCTCCAGATCTCTGAACGCGTGAGGCGCGATGGAGCCAATAGTGTTCCGAGACAGAGTCAGATCCACCAGCTTGGTCATGTTTGCAAAGTCTTTGCGTTTGATGTTGGTTACAAAGTTATCCCCAAGACGCATCTCCACCGTGTGCCTGTCAATGTTAGGGGGCACAAACAGAAGCCCCTTTTTGTCACACAGTGTGGCCAAATTAGGGTTAAGCACCTGGCAGACGCAGCGTTTGGGACAGATTTGAACTTTGTGGGCCTTCACAGCCACACCGAGGATGATCAGATACACCAGGAGAGACTCCATTTGGCTTGTCATCAGGTTGATGCGCCTAAAAAATAAACCAATGAGAGACAGAGATGATCAAGCTGTTTGTGAAAATGGCAACAAGTGCAAACCCTGAGATCTATAATTCAAGCTGGGCAAAGTCACATTTAAAAAAGGAAAGAAAAATGGGCGATTCTGCTCTGCAAAGTTAAAGATTTTCCACTAGGCTGCAAACACTATTACTGTCAGCTCACAGCTCTCGTTTTTATAGCGCAAAGTCTGAGCAAGAAGCTAAGCAAATCGATGCCTGAACAAACAATAAATGCTGCACCATTAGACATGAAACTAATTAGTCACCTGCCGACTTGAGAGTGAAACATCCCTGGTAGTCTTGTAAGGTTTTTGTGACAGCTCTCCTTCTAAGCCCCTACTCCTCTGATCATACTTTTTTTGAATATATGATCATGCCAGTCCTTTTATGTTTGTGTACAGAAGAATGAAAGTCTAGACTGGCAGTCCAGGGTCTCATCAGAATTATCCTGATATCTCCCAGGATCATATCGCCAATAGGAAGGGATGATTGGGCCCTGTGCCTCAGCGAAGATGTGCTATGCCTTGTTATTGATTTTCTCTCTTCTCTCCCTGATGCTGCTCTTACTTATGACACAGCTGAGATGTGGGGGGAATAAGGAGGGATCCATTTAATGCATCCTGAGACATTGTCAGGGATATAGCATCTCATAAAAGTAAGACTTTGGAGATCAGATGTACCAGAGCAAGAGTGACAGAAGTCGAGATTATATTTACTCTTTTTCTTTCTCCTTTTTTTGGTTGAACATGCAATATTCAGCCCTCTGGGTGTCCAATTACAGCACACAGAAAAGGACACCAATCAAATCAAACACAGAGAACAGGAGATCCAATCCCACAACCTGGGTGAAAATCCAAAGGCCGACCTTTAAATACAGACAAGAACGGCTGATTTATGATTACAGCTTCCTGTGGTTTGCCGGTAATGCCTCTATTGTCCGTGTTGGGACTCTAAGAGTGTGCAGAAGAAAAAAAAACAGTTAAAAAAAATCCAGTGCCTTCATGTTTCAAAAGATTCTGTTGCACTGGAGCGGTGACACACAACTCCCGGTGTAATAACCTTGACAGAGTGAGAATGAAGAAAATATCATAGAGTAAAGAAAACAGCAGACAGGACAGGTGTGATACCCTGCCATGCGAGGGCATGCGGTGCCATTCGCTGACAGCTGGGTAAAACGTATTACAGCCCTAACGAGGAGGCAGGAACCATTCCTTTTAAAATGGGCCATAATAGGAAGGGGAGGAATGATATTGTTGGAGACAGAGAGAGAGAGAGAGCACGCTGGGTATGACATTTTCATGAACGCTGCTGATGAAGCAGCGGAGAATAAATGTCTTTTTCTGACCCATTTTTACACGGGACAACGTTACCAAATCCCACAAGATGTGTGCGGGGAGCCGCGGTGCACCGATCTGAGCTGGCGAGAAATGGACCGTGGGATCATTATTTAATGTTGTCATGACTCTCTTTAAAGAGAGCAGATGACTTCACCGTGAAGCAGTGCTGCAAAGCCGTGTGTAGTGCTTTCCAAGTATGCGTGCAAACTATCTACTTTTTATGTGCGCGCACAAGCGTGAGAGGACAGCCTGCCTAAGTGTGTTCACGTTGGTGTGCCAACCACCTTCTGCTCTGACTCTGAATGGTACGGCCTCTGGTTGTGCAATGAGGCAGAGAGGACCTGCTACTTCCAGACTCGAATGGCGCTGAAGACACGATATTGATTCACTCTGTGGAGATGAGGCTTCTTCTTTCTATTTTTTTTTTCATGGCTGAAAACTCAGCCAAACGTGAAGAGAATGGTTGCAACAGTAATCTCTACAAAATTTGTTCTGTGAGGACAAAAGGACAGCCGCTCGCTGCTTAGATGGGCCAGGAAATATCTCTTACTGTCTCCTCAATTTGCATTTAATTACTGGTCTTCCACAGAGATTTGCATAACAGGTTGCACTCATCAGGTACATGAACAAATAAGTAGATGATCAATCAATGTATTCATCAATCACACACTTCATCTTCAAATGTCAACCTCCCCCCCAAAACCTCACTGAAAATCATTATCCACTAGGTCGGCCTGTTCATTATAGTGGAGCGACTTGGGAGGGCCACAAATAAACAAGAAAACAGATAATCTAGTGATGCATTAACCATAATCTCCTTCTTAGTCAATCAAGTGTTCGTTTACTACCTCCGAGCAGGTCTTTTCACCCTCGGAGAAAAGAACAGACTGACAGCACACTCCCACACATAAGCATACACACCAGTGGGTGGGGATTTGTGCCTAATAGAGCCAGATCACAACCCCCCTTCCTCATCCCCAGCTACAGAGACACATTCATGTGCAGCAGCAGCAGCAGCAGTAGCAGTTACCAGTAGGAGAGGGTATCTATAGCCTCCCTGGGGTAGCATTGGCCAAGAAAAACCTTATGCAGCATGCTGCATGCCAATCCGGCCGGTGAGGTCATGGGGGATATGTTTTCAGATGGTCTAACTTATGCTGGAGCTCATGTGAGAAAGCCTCTGCAATCCGCGTCTGGGCAGGAAATCAGGGAAAGCATCCCTGCGAGGAGGGGAAGATAATGAGATGAAGTCTGCCAGCATCTCCACGCAGGTCGGCACAACGGCAGCGGTGGCATCTCGGTTTGCGTCTCACCTGAGTTGGCCGGTGGGAGGTGGTGGAGGGTGGAGAGGCCGGACATTTGCTACACTGCCAAATATATATATATATATAAGCTGCGTTGTGTCAAGGAGGTAAACTGATGCTGCAACGTGACGGTAAAACGGTATCGACAAAACAGTGAAACAGCTCCTCATCCTGCCTGCTTTTATGAGAGCAAATGGAGCCGCAGCATCTGCTGAAGTGGATCATATTTTGACTGAGCTGGTAGAAATTCTATGTTGTCGGGTAAACGCTTGTGTAGGTAAGAGCAGCAGACCAAACATCGATGCTGTGAAGCACCATCCAACTCACTAACACATGTGAATGTGGCCATGTGCTGTGACACCCTGGCTTCCTTTTGTTTTTCTTTTTTCTTCTTACAGAGTCTGCAAATGTTAGAACGTGATAGCTCTTTGGGTGACAGCCTTGATGCCATGGCAACACCGCAAACGTCAGTTTTAGGGTGAGATGTAATCAGTGGCTGATTTTTTTTTCTTCTTCAGATAACCTAATATTATTTAGAACAAAGAGTCCTCTCCGAAGGAAAAGGACCTTGACAACTCTTTTGCTCGAAGGCCAGAGCAGACCCACTGTAGCATTTCTGATGAGGAGATTGTGCACTCAGCTAATTCTGGATTGAATTGGATTTTTTTTCCCAGTCTTGCACGTAATAAAAGCCAAAATGACTTGATGGGGAAATCTGATGCAGATTAAATGATTTCTCAGCCCGTGAGTGCATGTCTACCCATCCACATGCGTGCCAGACGGACGGCATACTAAGCAGACCCAGCTGCATCAACAGAAGTGCAGTTCATCAGCATTTACATCGCCTTCTTGTAATTTTTCCCCCTTCATCACAAGAAATTCACCTTGATACACTAGACACCTCGTGACCGGGGGCGTATAAGCACTTTGCATATTCTTCTTTGAGCATTTCACTGAAGCAGGTGACAGATTTTAAATTCTGATCACCGATTTGTGATCTTAATTCTTGCACCGTTGCGACGTGCCCTGAAGTGATGGGCTTATGACCTGGGATTGTCTTCTGGTAGAAAGGGAACACAGAATCCTCAAACACTAAGTCTGAATATCAATGTGGCCTCCTCAAGTTGAATATTCTGCATGATACATACCAGCAGGTGTGCAGATACTCACATCTGTCAGTTCCAAAGTGAATTTCGGGTAAAGGAAGTGCAAAAACACTTCTATTGGTGACAGCACGACTCCCTCATGTTATCATTTACATGTGTGTGAGGGGAAGGGGGGCAGCCATCAGCCATAATGAGATCTCCGCACCTTCTGACTCATTTTCCTTCTTTCAAAGACCCCCAGGATACTGGATTTCTACCTCATGTAGCAGCACTAGCCAAATTGTCTTTTTTTTTCTTTTTTCTTTTTAAAAAAAAGCTTAATAATGCATAAATCTCCTTTACCTTATTAAGTTGTGTAACCATAAGGCATCTCTCACATACTACACATGTGAAGCAGGTGTGCAAGTTTGTGTGAGCCATATCTCAGTTTCAGATCTGGATGCAAGCACTTCTCCAGTGGGGGAAAAAAGCTACACAAAACCTAATTTGTGGGGAGACAAATTTGGGTCAGCGAGTGTGGAGCTGGTCTGCAGAAAAGCCCGGGTGCTGAGGAGCCACACATCACTCCTCCTCCGTCAGTGAAAGGAAGCAGCACATAAGCACCAACATTTGAGTGCATTCACAGAGCACAGAGAGCAAATAGAAGCAGCAAAATGAGGCGTGCGCCTTGTTTCACTGGTGTAGCAGTTACAATCATGCCTCGGGCACTCATGAATAATAAGATACGTGATAACTAACACTCCTCAGACAGGACCATTATACCTCATCCTTTATAAAAATAAAAAAAATCACTAGGACCATTTACCCCATTCCACCTCCTCCTCATCCCACAGACTTAGGATCCTGTTATCAGTTTAGGCTCATTTAGACTTTATCACAGCTTAATTACTGATGAGGAATTTGCATATCAGTTATGGGTTTGACCAGAACACACCAGAGACAAATCTCTCTAAAACACACAAGAAAACACAAAACACATGCAATAAATCAGCCTTTTCCTGCACATGAATCACAGCCACCACGGCCATTATTCTCAGTTTCACCTATATCAGGGGGGAGGAAAAAAGCAGCACCAAACACATACAAATGGATACTAAAAATAAATTTTAAAAAAAAGGTCCTTGGCGTGTGAGATTTTTTTTGACCTTGCGGTACAGGTCCTGGGCTGGTGGGGTTACAGCCACAACCCATGTCACAAGGGAAAATCTGAGCGCATTCAGACGGGTCCTAAGAGAACTACTTCAAGTCAATATTTCGCTTCTTGAAAGACAGACTCCGCAAAAGAGTTCACACGCTCCAATTCACACCAAAGGCAGCCTGTAAAATACTGATTTTTATTATTTTACCTTGTAGCTGAAACATGGAGCCAAGTCACAGGAGGGTGGGTTTGAGCTTATTTCCTCCCAAGGGGGCTGGCGGCATACCGAGAGTGGCTTGCCTTAAAAAAGAAATGTGCTGCCTGGAGATAATTCAGGTGTCCCGAAACACGCGTCTTGGTTCCTACAGCATGTGACGGCCTGCGAAACCAGCGATGCCCTTCAAGAAATCCATAACCAGCAGATAAAGGACGGCTCCTTTGCGATCCTGTGTGAGCGGTAAAATGTTACTCTAATTCCCCCTATCGAAAAAAAGGACTAGACAACAGGCAACCCCCCAAACAAACAGGAAAAAAACCCACACACAAGCTGAAGGGTCCCGGCGTGGCTCTGAAGCTGCAGCTGTATAGGGATCGTCTCTACTGCGCATCCGCCTGGATGCAGCTCCAGAAGAGAAAACGCCTCTGTAGCTTTGTAGCGACGGGCAGCTTTAACATCTACAGCAGCGCTGTGAGCGACTGCTGCTTCCGCTGCTGCTGCCGCTACTGTGCTCAATCCGGCCAGATGTTCGTATCGCTTTCACGGGCTTTCGCTGGCGACGCAGGGTTCAGTGTGAGTTAATCCAGATTGACTGAAGGGTTGCTGCCGTAATATATCCCCTCCCCTTCCCCTTCCCCCCCTTACTGCCCCCGGACTACTGTCAACCACCGACCCGGCTCCATTTCTGACCAGAGGTGTTGTGCTCGGAATGGTAATCGGTGCGCTCTGAGCTGCACAGAGACCATTTGTGTGCACAGACAGATGCAGTGCCTCCCAGCCTATCTCACAGGCAGGCATCATCATTTATTCATGGAGACTGAACTCTGCTGCACGAACGTTGAGTAGATTGAGCTTATGATATTCTCTAAGAATTCAATTTGATTAAATGAAGAAGAAAAAAATATGGGGCTGAGATGCTGATGCAGATTCAGACATGCAGGACATGAAGGCTAAGAAAGCCAGGCAACAACAAGCAGCCCGTAGGCTTAAGCAAGACTGGTATTGAAAAATCCATCCATTCTCTTGGATCAAACCTCTGCTGCTGCAGGTGCTTCTAGTGGGTGAACGCCAAAAATAGGCTATAGCTGAACAATGCTGCATGTATTACATAGATTATTGGCAAGAAAGTGTTGAGTTGGCTGAAAGAGAAAGGCCCGGCTCCCCCGTGGGTCTGCTTGGCGCTGGACCCATCCCTATCTGATGCAATGATCCTATGGCCTTTTGTGCAAGTTGGCAAAGTAGCCTATATGTGCACAAGTGTATTCAAGTGCAGCAGCACTGTAGTTTTCTTGGACTTGCTGGGTTTTTTTGGTGTTTTTTTTGCTCCTGTAAGAACAATGACCTATACCACCCCAGGGCCTTACAGCACTTTGAAATAGGTGTTTGTTGTCATCCAAAAGAATTACCCTGAGGATCTCTACTCTAGATCAATAACTCCATCCAGTTACAACACACCCACTTGAGATCAATATGAATAGCCTAAGTGGTTTAAGCATTCACTGTTATCCAGAACTGGAAGGGCATGAGCTTTTTGGACCACGTGTGTGTTTGTGCACGAACTGTACATGTATGAAAACATGTCACACTATGACTTTATTGTCTCAAAAGATTTGCAGAATCAATGCATCCTTGTGAGCATGATTTTTTTTTTTTAAACCAGCCACATCAAGAACATGTTAGCATTTTGCTGGTGGGAAGTGTTAATGTCAAGCTTGCATCATGAGCTCACAGTTGGTGATATGAAATGACACTGACATGTCTTAGGCTTTTTGTGATGCGTTCCTTTACTGTTGTGATTCAGACTTTCCTGCTTTGCTTTTCTTTCTTTCTTTCACCGGTGCATGTCCCTCAGGAACCGCTGGTATGTGAGGCTGTCTGCTCGCTCGCCGCTCCGGCTCTTTTTCTCCAAAAACAGGCTCACGGTGTCCCGTGGAGGGTCAGTGATGCTGCGACTCCACAGGGTCTCTGTGATCCCCAGCAGCTCACGCACGCATGCAGAGATGACCTGCGGGGTACACAGCGGGATTTAAGAAAGCACGCTTAATGTTTACATTATCTAACCTTATTTAATAAAGTCGTCCCACTGAGAGGGAGAGGAGAATCTTGTATAACAGGGAGAAAGGTTACAGGGTTACACTCATAAAAACTGATGTATCAAATGACTTACAGGTTAAACCAAAAAATAATTATGACTTAACAGCGTGTACACGCTTCTTTGCTGAGACTGTTTTTCTCCATACCACTCATACCACAGTTTATGCTTCCTGGGAGTTTAGCAGAGTTGAATGGCACATTTAGCCAATTTAGTTATGACCCCAGAAATACAGATTAGAAAAAACAGTCACTGTAACTGTAAACAGCCTATATTGGATAGAGCTGATCTGAGTGTGTTTTCTGGCAGTGATGTTTACAGCACACGCTTTAATTGGATGTCGCGCTGCTCTGAGAAAAAAAAAGAAAGAAAGCCAAACATGTGCTGTTATTTTTTTTGGTGCTTCCAGTCAACTTGCAGTAGTGCATACTGCAGAGACTTCTAACACAACTGAAGGTGGTTATAACAGTTATTTTTAACACTGTTTTCTGGCTTTTTATGTGTTATATCGTCAAAGAAAGATACAACGCCTTTATAACCTCCCACAACATCTTAAGGGGGATCAATTACACCTTTACCCATGTTTTGACCTTTATAAAGGGGATAATATATGTATGAGTAATCCCTATGAACCTTTAGAGTGCTCTAGACTTTTTCTGCTCTTGCCTCTGTACAATGGCAGTGCGACAGGATGTTCTCAGTATGGCCATCCGAGGCCTTGGATGATAGGAAAGATGGATGCAGTCACTGTGATGTCAACTAGAACATTTTCAGCCTCATCATGTTGGTGTTTTGAAGCCAGCTGTGACTGGAGAGGGATTTGTTTGACTGAGAAACCAACTTATCACTGACAATTTGTCAGGCAACTTCCTCGAAAATCCTCCTTTCTTACTTTTACACAGAATCTTTTTTACAAACTGGATGTCATGGTTTATTCAAAATGATCTGAAACAAGGGACTGAGTCCTAAAACTCATCAGGAAAGAACTGCTACAGTCTATTTTCCTATAGACTTCTATACAACTAAAACCTTTGTTGAAGCTGCCCCCTTTTACTAGTCATTTGCTGGTCATTAAAATATCTAAAATTAATTGCATTAAATAGTTCACTTTTTAGACTCAGAAGCTGTCTCAATCTTTGATACTATCTACACTCAATCAATCAGCCAATTAAGTGGCAGCAATTTAATGCATTTTAGGCATATAGACATGGTAAAGATGACCTGCAGAAGTTATTGGTGCCAGAAGAGGTTGGTCTAACTTTTTCAGAAACTGCTGATCTAATGGGTATTTTCCTGGACAACCAGAGAATGGTTCAAAAAAGAGAAAATATGGACGAAAATGTTTTGCTGATATAAGAGGTCAGAGGAGAAGGGCCAGGCTACTATGAAGCTATGAAGGTAACAGTAATACCAAACTCATTACAATAGGCTGCAGAAGAGCATCTCTAAATGCACACCATGTTGAACCTTGAAGCAGACTGGTTACAGCAGCAGAAGACCGCACCAGGTGCCACTCCTGTCAGGTAGGACCAGTAAACTGAGGCTACAATTCCCAAGGGATTACCAGAATAGGACAACAGAAAACTGAAATTTAAGTCTTAGGCAAACAGATCTGGCTTCCGAGCTAGGCAGCCCTACCCACCTGCTGCTCATACCATTTGTTTACAAGTGCCAGCCATTCAGAAGAAAGATGGCTGTTTCAGAGAGAGGGTGACCTTAAAGACTGTACTAATACGCAGTATAAGATAAATACGAATTTGCGTAATCCGCGAATGCTTTCGAAGTATCTAACAATAAAATTATGGAGCGTTAACTTAACATGACAGATCCCCTTTAAGTGATGTGTCACCAACCCTTTGTGTTTTTAAATGCATAACCTGACTCTATTAAGCCATACATCAAATTTTTTATATATAAATAGGGCAAGGTGATAAAAATGGTGTTGCTTATTTAGCATCTCATATTACTTACTTGGCAAGTTCTAGCCAACAACTAGAACTAATGCCTCTTTTTAATACCTGCATGTGTTTAAAATCTGTGACTCCCAGTCTTGGCAAGTAGATGCAATTCACGTAAATAAGCTTTCTTCCACTTATGAGGTTGTCCGTGAAACATGCCTGCGACAGAAAGACGTAATAAAGTGAGAAGTTTAAGGAGTGAACTGATTCAATGGAGGCTAACTAGCTTCTTTTTTCACTTTGTCAATGTTGTCACCTAAGGTCAGGTCAGGTTTAACTTACTTTATATTGTGGAAATCCTAAAGACTCAATCCATCTCGCAACATCATGACAATCCCACTGTAGGAACTCCATGTTGCCTTTAAGCATGTTGCCATGGAAACTGTTACCTGGCATTAGGCGTTAATAAGCGTTTACTTCGAAACGTTTTTATAAAATCACTTTTATTTTTATTTTGTCCTAAGAAAGTACCGGGACTTGTATTTACGGCAAGGGACATCTTTAACACAGAAGTTTGAAAACAGTTTTTTCCTTATCCTTTTTTTTCCAGGATCAATCAAGTGTCAGCGACGACTCAACTGCTATGGCTTTGTTTTCCTCGCCACAGCCAATCAGTGTCTCGTCATTTAGGGTGGCTGGTATACCGCGCAGAACGATTGGCTTTTAAGTTAAGTATATCCCGCCCACACTGAAAGGAATCAACGAATGGTTGCGCGCGCAGTTTTCGTTGATCCACACATTATCCGCATTGGTTCTCCTCGTTCACATCCACACCAGGGACAGGTTGTAGCTCGGCGAAAAGCGCAGCTTCGTATTCACCGCTCTGCCCTCTGGAACCTTTCTCAAGCTCAAGTTCTCTTTGCACTCCAACGTCTCCTGGGTCGGTCGAAGGGCTTCGGAGCAGGAAAAAAAGCACTGCACTCTCCACAATGGCGGCAATTCTCCGATCCCTTTTAAATAAGAAGGTAGAGTAAGATAATGAACGTGCAATATACAACTGTTTGTTTGGTTCAGTGTTTATGCACCAAACTCGGCTAACAACCTGCGCTGTTAGCTAGCAAAGTCACACGTTGTACACAGTCCACTCCTCCTTTTTGCAAGTACATGACAATATATTAAGTGATTGGTTAGCTAACAACAGGCTTTATTTACATCACGTGGACAGATATGATACGTCAGTGGATCATTCAGACGTGCCTCTTGAGACCTTGCACAGACAGTGATTTAAAAGCTCTAAATAATGGTCTGATATGTCATTTCTCACAGGCCCCCCTCCAGCTGGGTCGTATGTGCTACTCATCCTCCTCAGTGGTAAGAGCCATCACTCAGGACCTTTTATAGCTTAGTAGTGGTGCCGTGTTATGCGCTAAGGGCCGTCTCTTCTGATTGTCAGAAGAGTATGCTTGTTTACTTTTGTCAGATTGTGTTACAGCATGACATTTGTTTATAACAGAGTAATATTTGCGTTATTGGAAAAACATATATGTGTGTGTGTATATTGGTTAAGTTTTTGAATTAGCATAATTTCTAAATGATTTTATTTATCACTTCGAAGTGAGTCTTGGCTAAGAAAGCACAGGATGTCAGACTAAATTCCGAAGCCTTCCACCAAAACCTCAAAAGAGGCAATTTCTTTGCTCATTACAACATTAATTTCTTTGATTATGTTTATTGTGCATGTTTTCAATATTTTTTTGGCTAGTGTTTGAAATCTCAGTCAAAAGTATATCCATCACATCCAGCCAGAGACATCAATTTTTACAGTTGTTTGCACTGCAGCTTTGAATATTAGCTTTTAAGACATCAATGTCAAATGGCCCGTTAAAGGATGCAGTCCCATAGATGAAAATGCAAAGTGGAAAAACTGCAGAGAGGGAAGTTATAATTACTTTTAAATGTATTTTGCAGCAAGGAGCATTGTGTTGCAAGTCATCATTAACAATATATCACTTCAGGAGAGTGGTTGGCTCGGTGTACATGGAGGTCAATATTTGATCACCTTTATTCTTTAACACAGCCTGAACTCTCTTAGGCAGCTTTCTTGTAATTTCTTTAAGTAGTCTTCATGAATAGTTCTCTAGGCTTCTTGAACGACATCAAAGCTCTTCTTTGAATGTTGGCTACCTTTTATTCTGTTCTCTGTCAAGACAATCCCACACTGCTTCAATAATGCTGAGGCCGGGCTCTAGGGAAGCCAGTCCATGACTGATGGTGTTCCATTGTGTGTAGGTGTGTGTTTGCGGGCTTTTTCTTCCTAACCTTTCTAACTTTTACTATATTGGCAGTGTATATGGGATCATTGTCATGCTGAAAAATTAAGCTTTTGCCAATCCAAAGCTTTCCAGTGTTGAATAGTGGAACAAACCCTGATGGTACTTTTCCTGTTTCTTAAGGACATGACTTTCAGATACTGTTCATCTACTGCTGTAGATAATGTTTAGGCCTGCCACTTATTCTTTTGTCTTTCAGTTGTTGAGTTTCCTCTAATTTTTTCAAGGGAACAGTGCACAACATGCCAAGATATGAGACGTTTTGGGCTAATGGCTCTTTAAGAATCACCTTGTAGGTACAAAAATACTATTTGATGCCAGTTTTTAGCAGTTTTTCATTGACTCAACTACAGAAGTGGGAACAAATTATGTGTTTTTGTAACAGGCTACGTGTAACATTCTTCTGGAACGACTGGACTGTAGCCAGTGTATAAAGAAAAACTTTGTAAGAGTTTCAAAAAGCCTGGAGAACTATTTCTCAAGACTATTCTAAAAAAATCCAATAAAATGAATAAATAAATAAATATGTCTCTTCGGTAGCAAAATATAAAGGAAAGTGGCTCAGGACTCTTGCACATTTTATATATGTTAAAGTTTAATAGATTCCCGGTGTTATTTTTTCTTTTTTTTTGCTCAAACTGAAGCTGTCTATTTTTCTGTCAGTCGACTGCTGCAGTGCTAATGGATATAGACCCTGACTTTTCCAGTGCATACGCACTGTATACTAAAAATCTATCTTGAGTTAGGAGGAGGAATGGGATTGGAACACGGGTAATGTAGCATGGAAGATGTACAGCTTTGCTTGGAAATGTCTGAGGCAAACTTAAATTAAACAATTCAAAATGAACCTGTAACACAGCTGAGTGCATGCAAAGTGAAGTAGAGCAAAATGCCTTGGAAAATAACTGCATATGTTGCGGTGATGAATGGATGCGATGGCGACTGATGCATCCAGATTGAATCATATGCTTCTTTGATCTTCTAGCCCACCACCAAGCTGTTCATCGATGGCAAGTTTTTCGAGTCCAACACGTCTGAGTGGCTTGACATCCACAACCCTGTAAGTATTCATAGATGAACTGTGCCCAACCTGCACAGAGGCTGGAGTAATGCGATCTGGCTGCAAGTATACAGTGTAAAATTTGTTGTAGTAACTTGTGAATATTGAATGGAATAAATAAGTCCTGATTTGTCAAATTTTAATTGCCTAATATGTAAAACGACAGAAATCTGAGCCCAGTCTACACAACCCGTCATGTTTTATATCCTCCAAGAGACGAGCCTAGGGCATAGCTTGTCAGATACTAGCCTCTTGCAAAACAGCGATGAGCAATTGTAGCATGAAAAGATATTCATCTACTTCCACCGCATAAGGATAAAAATAAATGTTTTTTGTTATTAATATTAATGAAATTATGCACATGCAAATAATGACTTCCCCTGCTCTCAGTTTGCTTGTCTGATTGTCTTTATGGACCGTGTCCTGTTCTGCAGGCCACTAATGAAGTGGTGGGACGTGTTCCTAAAGCTACACAGGAGGAGATGCTGGCAGCTGTGGACTCCTGCTCCAGAGCCTTTCGCTCCTGGTCCGAGACCTCCATCCTCAGCCGGCAGCAGATCTTCCTCCGCTACCAACAGCTCATCAAGGACAACATTGTAGGGAGATGGGTCACATATATGCCAAAATAATTTATTGATTTTGTTGAAATAATTCTCTCTAAATTCTTCTTCTAACATTTCAGAAAGAGCTGGCTAAGATCATCACTTTGGAACAGGGCAAAACTCTGGCTGATGCAGAGGGAGACGTATTTAGAGGACTGCGTAAGTAACGCATTGACTCGACTTTTAGTCTTCCTTTTAGTCTTTGGCGTCCTGATTAGATTAGTCCTGCTGTAGATATAGATAAGATCAAATTCCTCAAGTGAAGCAGTTTATTCAACAGTCAACACTCTATGCAAAAAGGGACATTGAGCTTTAATTTAAAAGTGGACAGTAGTAATAGTTGGGCCATATTAGAGGCTTTAACCGCTTTTAATAAGGCTTTAGTTCCAAGAAGAAAAAGGCTGCAATGCTTTTGCAGCAGTACAATAATAACTCCTGATGTTAAAGTGTGTTCCTGTCTTCTGTAAAACACTTTTCACACTATGCTTTTAGCTGCACTCTATTTAAAGATAATTATGCAGCTTCCCTTGCTGAGGTGCACTCGTTCATTCTGGCAGCCTTGCATCAACAGGAATCATGTTTGGAAATTAAGGGCTGTGTGCGGTTGCAGACGAAGGAATTAATTTTTGTTTATTACAACACGCAGCTACCAAGTAATTTTTTTTCTTTCTTTTTTTTTTTGTTCTTGGTGTTGATCCCAGTTTCAGGGTGCCTAAATTATTCTGGCAGGCTAACTTTTCTATTATCAGCTGAAAGACAGGCTACATGTGCAGGTGCGCTGCAAGTACCGGGGCTAAAGGTGCTTGAAATACTTACAAGTTTTATTACAGTTTTTTCATGGGAAATGGAGCTGGCAGGCTTTTCTTTTTTTAATCTTAAGAGGCAAATGTGTAAATTTCAATAATGGACTCATCAGTTAACTGTGTGTGTGTTATTTCAGATTGCTTATCTAGGCACTTTGTTATTGGCTGACTTCCTAAATCCTTTTCTTGCTCATTCCTCAGAGGTGGTTGAACACGCCTGCAGCATTACATCCCTCATGCTGGGGGAAACCTTACCCTCCATCACCAAGGACATGGACACCTACACCTACCGCCTGCCCATCGGAGTGTGTGCCGGCATCGCCCCTTTCAACTTCCCCGCCATGATTCCTCTGTGGATGTTCCCTGTCGGGATGGTGTGCGGCAACACCTACCTGATGAAGCCCTCTGAACGAGTCCCAGGCTGCACCATGCTTTTGGCCAAAATGCTCCAGGATGCCGGAGCACCAGATGGTACACTCAACATAATCCACGGACAGCATGCAGGTGAGTGCGTAATTCCCTGCTCATTGAGGAGCTCACAGTCTGTGTGTGTCATAAACAATAGAGAAAGGTCCAAGGATGAGTCAAACATTAATCATATACCCTTCTGGCAATATGTAGATAAGATATTTCCATAAACTGTGCAGCCTATATCTGTAAGTAATCTACAGGCATTGTTGAAGCAGGAGAATTTGAATCTCCGTATCAGTGCTCGTATATTGTGCCCTGAGGGTGTGACACAGAAGAACAGAAAATATTGACTTTTTTCCTTGTTTGTGCAGCGGTAAACTTCATCTGTGACCACCCGG